CATATTTGCCAACTGCTCCAGTTGCCAAATACATGCTTTGGTATGGTTTCTTTATGGAAATCTTGACTTTTGTTCATCTTTCTGAGTTCTTGAGCTGATTTGACTCCCATCTATGGTTGCCCATGTGTAGCACATGGCTCTAGGGATGTTGCCACATTAAATGTGATGGCAGCCAACATGACATTTCTATGAACATAGTTTAGTCTTTAACGTGCTGAGGGCTCCAGATTTATCCAATTGGGCTGAAATTTGGAGATGTTATAATAGACACCCATTGGAACAACTTCTATCAAGGATGTCTCCTCATCCGACCTGTGTAAGTTGCTGAAATGAGGCCTGCAAGATGACCTACGAAACTGAACTGACTAGAAGTGTTGCCCAAATTGGGTTTGTCTTTAAGCTCATATTCCTCTTATCCCAATCAGCCCTTAACAAGCATGGATTGCATCAAATGTGATATCTTGCTGTCTTAACCTACAAAACAAACAAAAAAAGGTAAGTGACTCAAAATAAAGAGAAACTAAGCAAAGTCACTAAGTAAAGAAGGCATGCGAATGTATGAAATTATAAACTTATTAGCTAGCACCACTCTTCACTTGTTGTCTACTCATTCTCTCATCTCATTCAATCCTTGGTGAAGAGCTTTTGGGAGGTGCATATGATTGTACCTATTTGGAGAGCTATAAGGTGGAGAATCAACATCAAAAGGAGAGCCAACAACAAAGAGACCACACCCTCTACTTGAACACCATTCTTGGTTTCAAGATTCGCTCCAAGGGTATGAACATCTTATCTTTCACTCAAATAGGATTTAGAGAGTTTTTGGTGCACACTTTCATAGACTTATAAAGATTGGGACCAAATGAGACTTGCATGAATCCCGAGTTCATTTAATGCTTCTGCTCTTACTTTGATTTCATATTAGATATGGCTTGCTAGGTGATTTATACTCTCAAAGTTTGACTGTAGAGTTTTTAGAAATCTCTACACAACACCATTCCTACAATATTCCATTCAGCCTCTTCCTATTCGAGTTTGTTAATCACATGAATACAGATATAGCCAAATTAGAAATAAACATATTATAAAGAAATAACAACAACAAAACAGCAGAAGAAATGTTGGGTGGTTGTTGAAGAAGAAAAGTAAAAAACCAGACCTTGAGTCAATGTTCTTAAGCCTCGAGTACTAGACCTTGATTATTATCATATCAATAAGGGTAAACTGCCAAATACCCCTTTGGACTATTTCGACTGTCGAAATGCCCACCTTGAATTAATTTTTCACCCAATTTAGCCCCCGTATTAAATTTATTCGCCAATTTTGCCCCTGCTGTTAACTTTTTCACAATTCCATCCAAATGCTTATAAAAAACACCACGTGAATGGCACATGCGGCTTCTGTTGAGGGTAATCCCGTCTTTTTAATCCACAGACCCCTTTTAGAGCTTCGTATGCCTGATTCACAAATCGAGCTTAGGGTTCAAACTGAAAGATTCGAAAAAGGATGAGAGTGAAATAGAGACAGCGACTGAAAGATTCGAAAAGGGTGAGAGTGAAAGAGAGACTGTGACTAAAAGATTCGATTTGGGATATATATTATGACTTGAAGATTCCAAACGAAGGTGCGACAAAGGTGATTCGGTAAAGGCAACAGATTGAATAGGAGAAAGAGTCAAAGACAATAAAAATAAGAAATTGTGGGGAAGCTCCCATATACAGTAAGTTGCTTACTTTATTTTATTTGTTTGATGCAATTGTTTTGGTTTTATTCTTTGTTTTTGTCTGATTTCATTGGGTTTGACTATTTTGTTTATGCTAGACTTCATGAAAAAGCATAATAAAAGTTAGAAAGTGGTCCCTATGAATGTTGTCTGTTTAACAAGGTTGGGTTGTGTGGTCCCTATGCATATTGTTTGTTTATTGTTTGTCGGGTTGTTTGTCTGACAATATGTAACTTGCTTGTTGTGTTTTTATTGTATTGTATTGTATTGTATAGGGTAGATAGTAAATGTTATTGTATTGTATAGGGTAGATAGCAAATGTGTATTGTATTGTATGGGGTAGATTGTAACACCTGATCCTAATTTAATTATCCATTTAAATTAATCAATTAATTTAATTAAGAAATTACAATTTTGCCCCCAGAGGGGTAATTTGGTCAATTTATAATCCGGAAGGATTTTGGGGAAATGACTGATACTATTACATAGATTGTGCTGAGATGAGTCTGTAGACACGTAGTTGGCTCGAATCGGAGTTGTAATGAGAAAGTTACGAGTTACGGAAGCCTAATGGCAAAATCATAAATAATTTAAAGCCTGGTATTTTCTTTTAAAAACCTGGTTCTCTCTCCCTCCCTCACGATTCCTCCCATCTCTACGAAACAGGCCCCCCCTCCTCCGACACTATTCATTTGTTGGGTTTTCCCACCACCGCCGCCACCTCTGGCCATCAAACTCGACAAGGTTGGTACCAAAAGAACTAGCGCGACGTCACCTTCTCATCCCGACCCTTCGCTGCCTCAGCCTCCGCCATATCTCACTGGAATTTGCAAAAATCCGACCAGTTTTACCCAAAACTTCACAGAGGTCGTTCAAATGATTACGACCACTAATTTATTCGAACATGGTATGATTTTCCATCCTCTCAATGTGTTCCAGCTGATGGTTGGGTTATTTATGATCAATTTCTGCTTTTCGAGAGTCCATTAAGTGATTAAAGTTTTGTCTGGTTTCAGCCCTTGATTCCGGCCATCTTTGACCACTTTTTGGGGTTGGTCCAAGAACAAAAGTTGCTCAACTCAATGTCCTGATCATGTAGGTATAGGTCTTGATCGACGATTTTGAGATTTTCCGGTCACTGAAATTTCTCTAGACACCCACGGGCTGCTTGCGCGTGTGGCGATGCGTGGGCACTATTTGGGTGTCCTCCTTGGTTCTAAAATAATCCCCATGTCGTCTTGAGCATGATGGTATGCTCGGATTTGAATTTGGTTATCGTTTGATTGTAGATAAGATATCACATATTAGGCGTTATCCAGGTTCGATATGTTCGGACCATTGGATTGACTTCACTTCAATATATGTTGATCTAGGCATCCCTAGGAGCATGTAGGAATTCACGGATTGTGAATCAGAGCCCCGGATGTCCCGATTCAATAACTGAAAGTTTGCGTTAAACGATAACCGTCCGATTGCTAGCAATCTGACCTTTCGATTCAGACCAAACTTGCAGGACGTGTATTCTGAACCTTGTTGAACCCATAGGAACTTTCGGATTGTAAAACGGAGCTCATGGGCCCGGTTGACCCATTATGGAAAGTTTGACCGCCCGGTTGACTAAGCTTCTTCCGAGGCCATCTCATCATCCGAAACACGTAGTTGGACCTTAGGAACGTCTCGTTCCTTGAAACCCGGAAACTAAGATTTTAATTTAAAGTTCTCGTTCGAAGAATTTTATATTAATTTCGTACTCGTATTCTGAACTAGGTACTCCGACCACACAGACGCAGCAGGCGAGACCCTCTTAGGGTCAAACAACGTGGGATTACTTATGAATGGACATTGTTTTCAAATGCTAACATTAATTTTAAGACAGAAAGTTATGCATGATGATTTAATGGTGTATTGAGTTTATTATTTTATTAATTGTTAAACGTGATATTTCTATATATTTTTGAAATATATTTGGGTTTTGGCATATTGCAAGTATCTTTGAGTTGATATATAATATTTTCGAGAATTTCTATCTATGATTGGTTATGTGTGGGGTATGTGGGATGTTGGATTGAGATTGTGAAAAGAGAGTGGATTATTAGTTATGTCAGTTTGAAGTGCTATAAGCACTACCCTATGTACCTCCTCGAATTTGGAACTTTGGATTCGGAATGTTGAGATACTTGGATATGTTAGAAACCGGGCACCCTAACGGGTTTCGTAGACCCTTAGCGGGATAGTCTGCGCCCGTAGGACTTGTCACAGGCGTACGAGTATTGAGGATTCTGCTGTACGTGCTGTTGAGCTTAGTCCCAATTGGATGGCTCGTTCTCTAGCCACATGGTCAATTGAGGATTCTTCCATGTGGACTAGTCAAACAATCCCCGGTTGGATTGTTTCCCCAGTACAAACTTGTTGGTGTGATACTTATATATATATTTATATACCTATTATATTATATATATATGTGTGTGTGTGTATTTATATATATCTATTCATTCGTTCTTGTTTATCGATGAGGATACTTCCTCGCTCGCTGTGTCAACAGGCACACGTCTTAAGAGAATGGTTTGGGAATAGTATGAAAGGCTTGAATGGGATGAGAAACAAATTTTCATTGTAGGTTTTCATATTTCATTATGGTTTTGACCAAACTAAATATATATATATATATATATGTGGTTATATCGGTTTTGAGCATATAAATTATGGCATATGGTTTTCAGCATCATTTTCTAAACGGTGGGAGTTATATTATGTTGGTTTCAATTGTGAACTAAACTTTGTTTTTGTCCACTCACACTTTTCTGCTTTGCGCCCCCCAGCCAGTAGTTGATTGAATTGAGCAGTAGAGCCAGGTCGTGAGCTTCCGAATCCCGAGCTTACGTAGGATGAACTTTTAATCCTTTCCATTATGTTGAGCTTCCTTTTCATTTGTAAATTGAATTCTCTAGATATGCTCTGTTATCGCCCTGTTAGGGTTTGATTTGTGAGGCCGGAGGCCCTTGTTGTAAACAGTTTAATTGAATCTTTCTCTTGCATGCTACCTATTGGGAGATAAATGTGTTTTTACCACGTTGAGAAATTTGGGAAATGTCCAATTTACAAGAGAGACTCTGCCGAAATTTCGGCAGAAAGTCTCGATCCTTAGTAAGTGGGTCCGACACTAGTAAGATGTCAAAACTTTCACAGAATTCGTCCTGGATTCCGAGGAATTAGGGGCGGGTCCTGTCATAGATAGTAAATTAATGAGAAAATTAATTATTGTGCAGCTAATCCTGACATGTTCACACTTGAAGTACACCACGGGGACTACTTTGTTGATGGTTTATATATGGGAGGTATTGTATAATGGGTTGATGGGCAAGATGAAGATGAGGCTTCAATGCTTGAGTTATTTGAAATGGTTAAACACCTTGATTATGATGAACATAACATTTAATACTATTATAAGCATAGGACAAATGGCTGGGTTGAAATTAAGATAGATAACGATTATTTTGGAGTAGTGAAATTGGTGAAAGGGAACCAACTGTTTGTGTTATACATAACTAAAAATTCAACACCTAGGCCTCTAAATGTTCAATCCCTAGTATTCTCTGCATACGGTGAAAATGCTGAAGATTATGAAGAGACTGCTCATGGATATGATGTTGATGAAGAGAATGGGCAATATGACTTCTTGTTTGTTGACAAAGAGGAAGACTTTGGTGAGGCAGAGGAAGAATATGTGAAGTTGAGGTAGAAAGTGCTGAAGCTGAGAAAGGTGAGGAGAGGACAACATGAATTTGAGCAAAGTGATGAAGAGGACAACATGAATTTTCATAGGTATGTTGTAACTGAAAAGTAAGATGATGAGTATAAAGAACCATGTGAGGGTAAAACTAATGGTTATAATACATCAGACTTAGAAAGTTTGCATGAAGATAATGAAGATGAAGATGGCAAGAAGGGAGGTTTGAGGCAACCAAAATTCAAGCAATATAATAAACAACATGACCTATAAGATCCAATATTCCACTTGGGTTTGGAGTTTCATAATATGCAGGAATGTAGAGAGGCCATAAAGTACTATGCATGCAAGTGTGCTAGAATACTAAGGTTTGTGAAGAATGAGCCTAATAGGGTGAGGCTGGTATGTGATGGTAATAATGATGGTGATAAGGCAAATAGCATAGTAAAAGTGATAAGAGTAAGAGGCATGCTAAAGGTGAAGAGGGTGAAGATGAACTTGAAGATTGTCCTTGGTTATTTTATGCTGCACATATTGGGAAATGATCCATTGTTAGAGTGAAGACATACCATCCAATTCATACCTGCGACATATCTCAAAGAACTAGGTTTGCCACTTCATAATGGTTGGCTAAAAGGTTTGATGAGGATTTCATAACCAATCCTAACATGTCAGTTCCTGACTTTATGTCATTAGTAAGGAAACATTACAATATAGATGTTACTAGGGACCAATGCTACAAGGCAAAGAATTTGGCAAATGAGAGCATTCAAGGAAGCATTGAAGAACAATATGCAAAGTTGTGAGATTATTGTGAGGAGCTTAAGAAGCAAAACCCATGGAGCACAGTTTTAGTGAAGACATCATTGCGAGGAGATGATCCAGTTTTTTAGAGGCTTTATATATGTTTTGCTTAATTGAGGAAGAGGTTTATTGATGGATGTAGAACCGTGGTTGGTTTTGGTAGGACTTTCATCAAAGGACAACTTTTAATAGCTGTTGGGATTGATGCCAACAATGGCATGTTCTCAACAGCTTTTGCTATTGTGGAGACAGAAAGTAAAGACACTTGAACATAGTTTTTAGATATATATTCATAAATGATGTTGGGGTAAGAGGCATTGGAAATGGTTGAGTTTTTATCACTGACAAACAAAAAGGATTAGGGCAAGCAATTGAGGCTTTAAAGCCAGATGCTGAACATAGGCATTGTGTAAGGCATCTGCACAATAATTTCAAAGTTGCTGGGCATGGTAGTTTGGCACTTAAACAGAGGCTATGGGCTACTGCTAGAAGTACAACACTTCCTTAGTGGGAAGCTGGGATGGACAATATTATAGAAATATCTGCACCAGTTCATGCATGGCTTAATGATAGACCAACAATTCATTGTAGCATGTCACACTTTAGTACTGGGACCAAGTGTGATATACTTCTAAACAATTTATGTGAATGTTTCAATTTAGCAATTTTGGAAGCAAGAGATAAACCAAGAATCACGATAGTGGAAAGGATAAGAATATATTTGATGTTGAGAGTTGCAAGACAAAAAAAGGTGAAATGGACTCAAAGAGTTAGGCCAAGGATCTTTCATATTATTGAAAAGAATTTGAAAGATAGTGGCTCATGCATTGCACAGAACACAGGTGGAAACAGGTTTCAAGTCACCCATATGCTTTGTGGGCTGTATGCAGTTGATCTAAATACTCACTCTTGCTCTTGTAGAAAATAGGATCTATGTGGCATCCCATGTTGCCATACCATGGCTGCAATATCAAGGCAACAGAGGAGCCCAATAAGGTATGTCAATGAGGTGTATAAGAGAAAAGCTTATGATAGAGCTTATAGTAATTACATTTCACCAATGCCAACCTAACAATTACGGAGGAAATCAAGTCATAGGCTAATTAAACCCCCACTGTATCACAAACAGAGTGGTAGGCCAAAGAAGGCAAGAACTAGACTAGTTGATGAGATCCCAAAGGGTGTCACTAGGCTTAGGAGTTATGGAATTGTAATCCATTGCTCAGTTTGTGAAAGAGAATGCCATAATGCTACTAATTATGGAAGGACAGACAACAATATGGGAAGAGGCAGAGGCAGAGGCAGAGGAAAAAGGAGAGGAAGAGGAAAAAGAATGAGAAGAGGAACCAACTCAGTCCATCAATCTCAAGAGGAACTTCAATATACAAAAACAACAAGACCTATGTTATAGGTAAAGGATGTGAAATTATGATTGAATGTTTTAATTGGATGACTCATTTGAATTGTTTTAAGTGTGATTAATTTCATTTGCAGACAATTAGAGGAGGTTTGACAAGGACTGTAGCCACTGCAAGCCAAACAGCTCCAATCAAAGTTGCTAGCCAATCAACTCCAACCAATGTTGCTTCTCAACCAGCTCCTTGCAATTTTGCTTCACAAGCAGGTCCAAGCAATTTTGTTTCATAACCATAGTATGTTGTTACCACTCAAAACATTTCTAGGCCACAAGGGAAAAGGTTTAAATCCCCTGCAAAAAAGGGTAAGGCCATGGAGGTAAAGTAGATTCATTGAATACATTTTGATGATGGATTTCATGGGTATTTTGAACAGATGGCTATTTTGGATGGATTTCGGAACGTATATTTTAAACAGATGGCTAGTATATGCTGGAATGTATATTTTGAATAGATGGCTAGTAGATGTTGGAATGTGTATTTTGAATAGATGGCTATTTTGGATGGATTTTGGATGGATTTTGGATGGATTTCAAATGTTAGAATATATATTTTGAACATATGGGTATTTTGGATAGATTTTGAATGTATTTCAAATGTTGGAATGTATATTTTCAACAGATGGCTATTTTGGATGGATTTCAAATGTTGGAGATGTTAATATCTTGCATTTGGATGGATTAGAAACGTTAGATGTTGAATTTTGAAGTATTTCATAGATTAATCTAGACCAAGAAGGCCTACATTATGTTTATGTTCTATTTTTGTTTATGTTGTAATTTTGGGTTGGTATTTTTCTTTTGGTTGATACTGGTTCTCTTGGATTAGTGTAGGCTTTCTGCCTTGCTTTTGTTGTACTGCTCGGTTTCTAGTTTCTAGGTATTTTTCCTTGGCTTGTGCGTAATGAAGTATTCAGTTACCCAAAAAAAAAAAGGCCTACATGCAACCAAATTCATTAAGCGAATCTACATTTAACCAAATAAAAAGGCCACTACATTCGTTATGCAAAAAGAAAGCACAAGAAGGCCACTACGTTCAACCAAATAAAAAGCTACATTCAACCAAATAAAAAGCTGACTAATACAATAAACAACAACAAAATTACAACCAAACAACTCAGCAGCCCACTTCGAAATTTTTCTTTGTCCCTTAGCTCTTGCACAATCTTCTTGTCTTTAGCTCTTTTCTCTTCCAATGAGTTTATTCATCTGATCAATCGACATATGGCATTTTTGGTACGCTCAAACATTTTCGGGTCCTTCCAATCCTTCCAACCATAGCCACCACCATATTTCTCTCTACAACACACATATAACCTCCTCCCTACATTATCTTCAAACCAGCAAACAATCGTTTCAGCCTCAGTTCCACACCGGCATATGCGCACCATATCATCATCCGTAATAAAATTGGTTGAAATTTATTTCTTAAAAGCTGCAAGTATGTTCCGAAGCATCCTGTCTTCAACTGCAATTTCTTGTCTTGTTCATGAAATTGATGAACATAAGTGAAATGAGAAGGTTAGAACGTCTGCAAATGGGGTTGGGTTCTGTCATCACGGGTGGGTTCTGTCAAAAAGGGGAGGTTTCTGGCGAATCTCTTAAGCACGGTATCTCTTTCTCTCAGTCCCAAATTGAATCTCCAAGTCTGATTTGTGTTGGGCATACGAAGCACTAAAAGGGGTATGAGGATTAAAAGGATGAGATTACCCTCAACAGAAGCTGCATATGCCATTCACATGGTGTTTTGTTAAATAAATCAAATAAAAAATTATATAGTGGTTGAACTTTTCAGTTGTATCTTTCCAAATTTTTGTTGAATAAAACACGTACGTATTTATTTGTACTTTTCTCGTTTTGTATTTTATTAACTAGAAATCTAATATAATTATGTGACTTAGGTTAAATTGGTCCTCACATATTCTCATTTTAGGTCCTGAAGTGAGCGAGATTGATTATAAGGCCTTCTCCAACCCATTTGGGGCTAAACCCAAATTTTCCCCCCTCAAAAAGTAACTATTTGAGTTTTGCCCGGACTCAAATAGTTTTTTCTCCCAACCCTCCGGACTCAAATTTTAAGTCCGCAACTTTATTAAATTGTTTAAGTAAAATTTTTATTTTTATTTTACGTATAACTTTTCTTCTTAAATAACTTCATAATTTAATTTTTTGAACAATTTGACCTAAAAAAATTTGAAATTCCACGAATATAATTTTATTCCCAAAAAAAAACACAAAAGATAACTAAAACACAAAAGGAGGATTGAAACAATTGTCGACCTCATTCACCATCTCCAAAGCTCCTCCAAAGGTGATCGATCAAATCATGTCGAAGACTCTGATGCATATGTGGAGATCGAACTCTATTATGACGAATCATGTAATCAGAGAGTCTGCCTATCTTGGTGGTACTTGTATGTAATGCTTGGCTCCATCTCATATTGTCTTGCTCTGGCCTTCCTGGATCATTGTGGACATGTATCCTCATCATCAGATTCCTCTTCCAAATATTCGTACTCATCCTCCACAATCATGTTGTGCAAAATTATACACGTCATCATGATTGAGTGAAGGTTATCCTTACACCATATACATGCAAGGCCCCGAACAATAGCCCATCGAGCCTGTAGTATTTCAAATGCTCTTTCAACATCCTTCATGTACGCTTCTAGCATTTGTGCAAAAGGTCTCTTCTTTGGGTTATCAGGAGAAAAGATGATATTCACCAAAGTAGCCCAACGAGAGTAGATCCTATCTACCAAATAGTATTGATTTCCATTGACAATATATTCAACATGAGGAGCCGCTCCATGCACTACATCATTGAACAATGGAGAACGAGCTAAAATGTTGATATCATTGTTGGATCCAGGGGCTCCAAAAAAGGCATGCCATATCCATGTGTCGTAAGGCCACGGCCTACGACAACTACTAGCAGTTCTTAACACTGAGTTTTTTGACTTTTTTTTAATTTGGCCTGGCCCCAAGCAGATGGGCAGTTCTTCCTTTCCCAATGCATGCAGTCAAGACTTTCTAACATGCCTGGGAAGTCTAGACCCTAGACGGCTTGCCTTGTATAATAGACTGTAAAAGTTAACTGGATTTGGAGGCATGAGGTACCATTGTTCATAGGCGGCTTCAACAGCGCAACAAAACTTACGAAGTGATTCAAGAGATCTGCTTTCACCCAATCTATAGTATTCGTCTATCACGTAAACCGAGCATCCCCATGAGCATATGAAAGACAGAGGTTAACTATTGCTCTGGGGATAAAGGAAAAGATGGCTTTGCCATGGTTATCCATTGAAAGCTTGAAATGATATGAAAAGTATGAGAAAGAAGATGATGTGCTTAAAATGATATGAAAAGTATGAGAATGAAAGGAGATTGATGAAATTGACAAAGGAAAAATAAATTGAGAAATAGAAAGAAAAAAAAAATTAATCTACCTTTTATTTTTTATTTTTAGATTAATATTTATAGAGTTTGGAGTAAGTTTTGCTGTTGGATCTGATTTAGATTAATTTAAAATATTATTTTGACTGTTGGATTTAAATTTCAGCCGTTGGATCTTTTTTTTTACCGTTAAAATAGCTTATATTTAATTTAGATCGTTGATTTAAGTTACTATTAGAATATATAAAATAAAATTAAAATGAAATTTGGATTCTTGCTGTTGGATTCCAACGACAACATCACCACAAGGCGACACATGGCAAGCTGATGCTTTAGGCAGCAGACAACCACTGCAGTGCGGGCCCCAATCTGATTCCTTGCACATGGGCTGAGTGGGCTCCACTGAATTTTTTTTGAGTCCAGGCAATAGCTGAATTGCTATTTGGCCCTTTCATTTTCTTGGTTTAGAAGAAATTTTAGCCTATAATTTAGGATATTTTGAATTTGGCCTCATGAATTGGAGATAACCTAATAAAGTCATACTTGAAAAAAAAGTGAAGTGCATTTGGTAACTAGAGAACATTGCCCACCATCGTCTAGTAACTAGTGCGGGCTCCAATCTGATTCCTTGCACATGGGCTGTGTGGGCTCCACTGAAATTTTTTTTGAGTCCAGGCAATAGCTGAATTGCTATTTGGCCCTTTCATTTTCTTGGTTTAGAAGAAATTTTAGTCTATAATTTAGGATATTTTGAATTTGGCCTCATGAATTGGAGATAACCTAATAAAGTCATACTTGAAAAAAAAGTGAAGTGCATTTGGTAACTAGAGAACATTGCCCACCATCGTCTAGTAACTAGTGCGGGCCCCAATCTGATTCCTTGCACATGGGCTGTGTGGGCTCCACTGAAATTTTTTTTGAGTCCAGGCAATAGCTGAATTGCTATTTGGCCCTTTCATTTTCTTGGTTTAGAAGAAATTTTAGTCTATAATTTAGGATATTTTGAATTTGGCCTCATGAATTGGAGATAACCTAATAAAGTCATACTTGAAAAAAAAGTGAAGTGCATTTGGTAACTAGAGAACATTGCCCACCATCGTCTAGTAACTAGTGCGGGCCCCAATCTGATTCCTTGCACATGGGCTGAGTGGGTTCCACTGAAATTTTTTTTGAGTCCAGGCAATAGCTGAATTGCTATTTGGCCCTTTCATTTTCTTGGTTTAGAAGAAATTTTAGGCTATAATTTAGGATATTTTGAATTTGGCCTCATGAATTGGAGATAACCTAATAAAGTCATACTTGGAAAAAAAGTGAAGTGCATTTGGTAACTAGAGAACATTGCCCACCATCGTCTAGTATATTTACATGAACTCAAACAAGCCACCCATACTTGCATTATTGTTAATTAGTTTTCATTTCATTTCCATCATTTTTCTTGATTTTTAACCGTTGTTATTTTTCTTAAATTCATATTTTCATTAAAATTTTTGTGTTTTTGAACTCATGTCCTGTTGTGGACATCTACATTAATTACATAATTTACAATGGCAACAAAAATAAAGGGTAATGATTTCTCCACCCTAATTTTATTCACTTACACTCATTTTTAGTTATAAAATGGAGTGTAAGAGCATCTACAATGAGCTTCCTAAACCACCTCCTTAGACAAATTTTAGGGAGGAATCGTAAAAATACAACTCTAACCACGCTCTCTATCCATCTCCTAAAATAAGGAGTCTTCTAGGAGCTCCTAAATCTGAGGAGAGAGAAATGACTACTAGTGACTCCCTATAATTTAATGCTGCTTTATTTAATGAGTATTTCAAATCTTTATTTAATACTAACTATTTTTTATTTTATTTTTTAATAGAGATGGACCAATCAAAAAAGAGTTATAGCATTTATGACTCTCCAAATTATGGAGTATGGTTGAAGTTGAAATTTTTTAGAGAGCTCCTAAAATAGCTTTTTTATATTTTTAGCTAAATTTTAGCTAAGAAATAGAGAGCATCATTGTGGATGCTCTAAGTGGATAAAATTAGAATGAGGAAATCACTACTCAAAATAAAACACGGGTTATACAGCAGATTTTTCATTCACTTTTCTCGAAGCATGTTATATAATAATTATACCTGTTCCCTAACAACAACGTTGATATGGCCGAGTTGGTCTAAGGCGCCAGATTAAGGTTCTGGTCCGAAAGGGCGTGGGTTCAAATCCCACTGTCAACACAAATCTTTTTGTATTTATTAAAATTTTCATATTTGCGATATAAATAACCTTATCCCCCTCCCTCTCTCTCTGGTGCATATATCGAAAAAGAGCAAAGCCATGACGAGCTTGGCCATGGCTTCTCTCACACTGTCACTGTCACTCTCAAAGCCTGCCTCTTCTTCTTCCTCCTCCTCTCACTTTCATCAACAATTTCGAACCAGAGCTTCTTCCTCTGCTGCTCCTGGTGTCGACCTCAACACCCTTCAATCCGCCATTGCAAAGGTTCTTCTTCCATTACGCTTTTAGTTTTCATTTACCTATTTTTATTCTTATTTCTAATTTCTCATAAAAATTGCACCATCACTAATTGCTATGCTGCACTTGGTATTCGTAATTAAAGAATTTTAAAAAAATATTTTGATTTGAAGAATGAAAAATGAAACTGCAGCTTGTATTGAACTCTTCCTATTAAATCATGATTGCATTTGTTGGTTAAGGCATACTTAATCAATGTACATCCTTTATCATGAGTTAATCATGAAATTTAAGTGTCAGAATGAAAATCAGCTGGAGAGTTAATGTAAATTCTTCCTCCTTCTCTCCCATTTACCTTCATTTCTATTATCTTTATTCGAATTCGTAGATAATTGGTTTAGTTTAAATTTTCAATCCCCTTGCTATTGCTAAATAGATAGAGAGAACATCATTGATTGAGAAATAGATCGAAATGAAATATTGCTATGCATTTTCTGCAGAAAGATAGCAGTGCGGTTAAAGAGGCACTTGATCAGCTAAGTGAAGTTGGTTGGGCCAAGAAATGGAGTTCTCAGCCCTATGTCTCACGGCGTACGGTCAGTCTCCGTTACAAGTGTGAAGTTCTGGGAAAGTGCTACTCAAAAAATTACCAACATCTACAAACAAACCCATGCATACATGTACTTGAATGATGATCATCTGTTCAAAGTATTGACTCTTTCAAGTTTCAACATTTATGCACCAGACATCGCTTAGGGAGCTGACAACCCTTGGAATTAAAAATGCAGAAACTCTTGCGGTTCCCAGCGTCAGAAATGATGTAAGTATTCATAAAACTAGTAATTTCTTTGGGCTACTTGCATTCAGAATGTGCGAAAATTATATACGAAACACGTTCTTGGATGTTCATTACCTCTTCATACAGTGTGCAAGATTGTTTTGCAAAGCCTCAACACCACATTTACTTATCTATCCTTTTTATTTGTGCTTTGAACTTTTATGAAGTAGACTCTCATAGCAACAAACCCTTACCCCAAACGCCCAAACCAATTCTGAGTAGGATTTAGAATTGTCAGCATCCTCTTGTAAATTTTTCTACCTATTTTCTTCTTACATGTCTTTCAGCGAATCTAATATGATATGGGGAAATACGGGATACTTTACGTCTAAATTGGGAATACAGCTCTTTCTATATGCATTGGTCTCAAACTACTTTTTGTAAATTTGATATCGTTCAGTGATACAGGCGGCTTTTCTATTCACCGTGGTGGGGACGACAGGATTCTTAGGTCTTCTTGCTGGCCAACTTCCTGGGGTAAATTTGATTATATCTCCTTGTCTCTGTAAGTCCACATATAAATTATACATCAACTATCTAAACGGTGTGATTAGGAGGGATTTTCGTAATCCTATATTGTTGTGTAATGAATTTTTTTTTAACTTTTTTTTTTAGCAGTGTATAGTTGATAGTATTTCTCTTTATTTTTCTTTTTCATATATTGGCATTAAAAAAAAGCCTTTTTCTACTCTTACACAAGTATATGAAATTTTAATCTAGCAAGTTTTCTTTCTTTGATCTGGAGGAGGAGATAGGAATATGGTTTTTGGATTTTACAGTTGCAATCTAACTTGGATCGCATTATTACTTTTGCATGAAAGTGGAAGGCATTTTCAAAGTCCCTTTCTTGTGTCTGTGACCACACATTAAGCATGTATTGTAGAGCTCTGGCTATAAAAGCAGGGCTGAAGAATCAATTATTATTATGCTATTTTTTTTTTTTTTTTTTTTTTTTTTTTTTTTTTGGATGAGCCCTATGTCAGTGAAATTGTATTGCTGCCAGCCTAGCACAAGGCGTTGGGGACAGACTGGATAATCGATGGCCACTTTCATTTGATAGTTGATAGTTGAAGTAGACAAGAAGACCTCTGTCCTGGATGTCACAAATTAATTAATTACAGATTGTCAACATTTTTACTAAAACAAAGAACTTAACTTCCTTATGCAAACAACTTGAATTGTAGTAGAAGTAAGATTAGGATTGAAAGTGCAATGGATTCTTTTTCGCCTTTGTATCAGCCAAATCATTGCCTAGTATTTGTCAACTGCATTTTAGGGATAAAGGTTTACTTGAGTTATTTCCAAAAATCATCATTCTTCTAGAACTATTAGATTAGGTCAATTATACACCAGAGAGAAATTTTATTTTACATCGCAGAGAAAGTAAGTTGAAAAGATTCTAGCTCTACTAACATTTCTTGGGTTTGCATAATACTGTTCTTGTAGGACTGGGGCTTTTTTGTGCCATACTTGCTTGGGAGCATCTCTTTAATAGTTTTGGGTGTGGGAAGCACTGCCCCTGGGTAAGACTAAGGTTTAGATGCAATTGAATTTTTATGCCTTCATGACTTATGTATTTTTAATAGCAGTTACGAGTAATTATCAACATTGTATTTTCTTTCATATAAAGTTATCTTCATCTGTACTTTAGGCTTCTTCAAGCTGCCATATCTAGCTTTTCATCATTTTTCCCAGATTATCAAGAAAGAATTGCTAGACATGAAGCTGCTCATTTTTTAGGTACTTCATTACACCACATATTATATACTTAATATCATTAGTAATGCATAGATTTTAGTTGCTTGCTTGACATACTGATAAAGTGATTTTTTTCTTTGAACAGTTGCTTATTTGCTGGGCCTTCCTATTCTGGGGTATTCTTTAGATATTGGCAAAGAGCATGTCAATCTTATTGACGAAAGGCTGGAAAAGCTGATATACAGTGGGCAGCTTGATGCAAAGGAACTAGACAGGTATTTACATGATGGCCATACCTACTGGAATTTAAGATTTTTCTTGAGTAATTTTTCACTTCTTAAACTGTAACAAACGGGCTCTCAGTTCTTTTGAAATAGTGCATCTTTTCACTGTGTCGGGATCATTGTTTTCTGATAATATTATTTGGTTTATGCACAAACTGTCCATTTGCATTAAAGTTCTGTTGCAATGTTTTCACATAACTTTATCTATACAAATGCAATACATAGTTACACACCAATGCTGGAAATGCCATTATAATAAATTGACCGGTGGAGAAGAATTAATTTTTAGTGGTCTTTTAGGTTGGCAGTGGTAGCAATGGCTGGACTTGCAGCAGAAGGTCTGACATATGACAAAGTGATTGGTCAATCAGCTGATCTTTTCAGTCTTCAGGTTTATAACTACCATTTTCCTAAGATCAATTGTTTTCTAGATACTATGTTAACCCAATCTCAGAAACTTCATTAAATTTTTTCAGAGATTTATCAACAGAAGCAAGCCACAGCTTAGCAAAGAACAGCAACAAAATCTTACTAGATGGGCTGTAAGTTCCTCAGTTATACAACCTGCATGCTCCACTAAATTTTTATTATTATTTTTAATGTGCGAGTATACAGATGAAAACCTTGGTTCTTTCACGAATAATTATGTGTTTATTTTTTTTGTCACAGCCCTTTTATGGTTTCCTCTGTTAACTGTTAAAAATGATTGAAAGATATTTAGTAATTGCACATTTTGTAACAAATTCTGATGCTGGGAAATGTATCGCAGGTTTTGTTTGCTGGGTCTCTCTTAAAAAATGACAAGGAAATTCATGAAGCCTTAATAACGGCAATGTCAAACAAGGCAACTATACTGGAATGCATCGAAGCAATTGAGAAAGCTGCTTGATTCTGCAGTCAGGAATCCTGCAGGAGATTCACTTTCACATGGGACATGCGGTAGGTGCTTAACCCTCATTCTTAATCTGCAACTAAGAAACTTGTACAATTTTCTGTAAGTTACCTTTGCCCTACTGTATATCAGAAGATATTCTTTCTGTATCAACAAAACTTAAAAAGTTATGACGATGAAATGATTCATTGTACGCATACACGAGCGACTGAACCTCGAATGGCACTTCATACATTTCCATTTCCATGGGACTTAAATGAATAAGCCCTCGTGATCAGAAAACATTTTGTATAAAGTTTTGCTTGTTTTTGACCAAGTCAGAAAATGAGAAGTTGTTAATTTATCACCCAGTTAGTTGGGAAAAACAGAGAAGATGGTGAATGTTTTTGTATAAGCTGCTTGATCTGCAACTAAAAAGAACTTATTTTGTTGTCTTGGGGTTGATCTTTCATGTAAACAACATACCAATAGGTTTTAAAATTTGGCGCCTTCGGTTCATTTTTAAAAGGAACTAGAGGTCTGTAGCTTGAAAAAATGGTTGAAAGAGAAGGCTATCCAAGTATCCAACCAATAGGTTTTAAACTTTGTCTCCTATGGTTCGCGTTGTTAAATTTCATCACTGTCCTTAACGCAGCAACTTCTTCCCACCTTCTCTCTAATGCATATATGTTAGCCATCTCCACGAATGGAGCTGCATCCTGGGGCTCCAACTCAGATAGACGTCGATGTGCATATTCACTGATCTCTATGTTACGGTGAATCTTGCAAGCACCAAGTAATTATGCACCCCATATTCCAACATCAGGTTTCACTGGCATGTTCTTCACAAGCTCCACGGCTTTCATGCTTTCTTTATGCTCAAGGATTTATATCGTAGACTTTTATCATCTCAAAGAACTCCATTCCTTTCTCAAAATTACCTGCATGAATGCAAACTTAGAATGGCAAGAACTATAAAGTGGTTTGGTAAACACAACCCATATATTACTGTACAAATAGATTATCTGAATAAAGGCCATTTTATTCAACTGAAATTGATACAAGTCCAACATTTTTATTGAAGTAACGTAATTTATTTATTATTCTTCTGTAGATTATTATTCTGATACAACAACCTGTCTGTAGTTCATGACCACCTGAACGAAAACGTTATTTATTTAGCACCCTTAATTTACAGCCGCCCATACATCGACAACATTTCCCTCAGTTGCAAAGCTTCTGTCTCCAAGCTATCAAAGCTCCTGGAACTAGGTATCCTCCAACCCCAATTTCCAAACTGTGCAAAGAAAGAAAAAAATCATTGACATGCGGTGTCATATAGGTTGGTTGCAGTTTTTTTCTAAAATAAAATATAAATAATATATAAAAAAAAAACCCCACCCCAAAAAAAAAAAAAAAAAAAAAAAAAAAAAAAAAAAAAAAAAAAATTCTTAAATAAACAGCTCAGAGAGCAAAGATTCCTGACTTCTAATTATTATGTGTGGTAAAATGATGGGGGAAAAAGTATGCTCTTAAATATCAGAAAGAAGGAAACCAAAAGCCTCAAATGTTTTCGTCTTGCCTCTTGCTGCCTGAGTAGAAACCCAGGAGCACACAAAACATCCAGGTTGTAAAACAGAAAAGGATAGGATGGGAGCACCCCAACCATTCCAAGAATCCGATTTGGCCTATATTCATCTGCATTTTAACTCTAGAGTCTAGACCCTAACCATCAATGTACTGCAGACAACAAAGACCGTCGACCACCATTCTACTGCCCATTACCAATTTATCGCATCTATGTATGAAGCTGTCATTTACCTGAGTTGCAGGAATGTTCATCCTTGCTGAACTTCCTAACCTAAGAATATCTTGCATAGGTATGATTGCTGTTCGGGCCACAGAAGATAATGCAGCTTTTGCGAGTGCCCATGAGATATCATCTTCTTCAGCAATTGAAAGATACTTCAGGACCTGGTATAACAATAAAACTGTAAAGAAACACAAAAAGAAGCTACATCTTGTCTAACATGTAGTGTGAAATTACATATTCTAGTACAAGATTTTTTGAATGAAAGAAAAAACAAAAAACAAAAAGGAACCCACATTGGACTTCTCTTCTTGCTTCAAAACATCCCACCACCCTCGAATCTGCAAGGCAATCAAAGAAACTATTAGCCAGCTTCGCTTAAAAGCTGAATGCAAAAAAGTTAAACAGAAGTCATGATCATGGGATTTGAACAACCACTACAAGAATATGCTCTGCCAGCTATAATTTAGTAGCAGAAAGAAAACCTCCAGAATAGTGGAAAGGTCTCGACAATCATTTGAGGATAAACCCAGAAACATATGGAAAGAAGCCCATGGATGGATGAATTTACCGTGTCATTATCATGAGTTCCAGTGTAAACAACTTGATTGGGCTCATGATTATGAGGTAAATGAGGGTTAGCAGCATCACTTCCAAAACCTACATAGAGAATTTACAGAACAGGGCAAGAACATCAGGTCATTTAAGCTTAAGGTTATTTCTCAAAGCTAATTATATAGAATACAGTAGTATAATAAATGGGCAAGAAGTCATTACCAAACTGGAGGACAGCCATTCCAGGTGCCCCTATGGATTTCCTTAGCTGAATTACATCCTCAGTGATGACTCCCTGTCATGCAATATGAGAACAAATCCAGCAAACGCTCATGAAAATGTGAATAAATGGGTATTTACAATAAATATCTTCGCAATGATAAAAGGTTTATTCGTTTACCACTATTGTGGAAAATTTAAGTTGTTAAGATGTGAGCCAACAATTATTTTATATGCTAATAAAGCTCCCCTTACACTAGAGGCCAATTTCAACTTATATAGAGGTTGTAATTGTAAGGTTTCAAATCAGGACCACCTGCTCCGATACCATGATAAAGTTTTTTTGTTTGAACACTTTCCCAAAGCTTAAGCTGTTAGGATGTGGGCCAGCAATTATTTTATATTCTGGCAATCATCAATTGGTACAAATAGCAAAGCATCTGAATCCATAAAATTACTGAGGTCCAGTTACAATAAGACGGTAACATTGTAATAAACTTTCTCAATCTTATCATTGCTTCACCGTATCAAAATTTAATTTCATAGCACCAGGATCCACCACATCAACAATGCATCTTACATGTCAAAAGATCAATCAGACATCTACCACATAAGCAGTTTTCTTCTTCTTTTCTTCTTTTCTTCTTTTATTTTTAAGTTTTTTTCTTTCTATTTTGTAAGGACACCAGTGTAATAAAAAGAATCATTAAATCAGTAACCTCATAGCATCAAAATTTACTCCCATAGTTTTACTCTTTTTGTTTTCTTCTCTTTTTATTTGAAGGATTGAATATATTTCTGGAAGTATTAAATTAAAGAATTGAGCTATTATGTTAAGTCTTCCAAACTGCTCTGGATATGGCATTGAAAAAGAATTTTGTATCCAACCAGCTAAAACATACCAAATCTTCAGCTATTATGTTAATCTTCCCAGCTGCTCTGAATATGGCATCAAAAAAGGATTTTCCAGGTCCGGCCTACCATTGTTTAAAATAAAATAAAAAGCTTCAGATTGAATGATGGGGTAATAAAGTACATAGAATTATAACTAGAAAACAATTTATTCAAACCTGACCTTCCATCGTCCAACCATGGCAACTTTTGCTTCTGTGAACACGCCATATATTAGAGTGATAACAACATAGGCATTCTACAAGATAGAAGCATAAGAAGTCTGATCTGTAATTTCTCACCAGAAGGAACAGCCCAAAAGCCAGCAAGACCTCTAAAGTGGTCTATCCTGAATTCGTCATATATATTCTGTGCTCTTCGCATGCGGCGTATCCACCATGAAAATCCTTCTTTCTCCATTGCTTTCCAATCATATAGAGGGCTTTATTTCAAACATTTGGTTTATCAGTAAGCTCAACAATATAGCTCAAACCACAAAACAAACTTGAAACATATGTATGTGTTGTATAAACCTGTCCCAGAGCTGACCAGTTTCACTGAAAGCATCCGGGGGAACACCACTAACTTCAAGAGGAAAACCATTCCTGTTCTGAAAAACTAATATATGATCACCAATTGACACCTAGTACAGCATGCTGTGTTATGAAGATCTCCCTTTACCCACTAAAAAGTACTCACCAGCAGAAAATGTTTTTTATTGGCCCAAACATCTGCACTGTGATAACCTACGTAAATGGGCATGTCTCCCATGATACTGATTCCCTTCATCTGTGCATACTTGCGAACTTTCTGCCATTGCCTTTGGAACAAAAATTGTTCAGCAATGAAGATATTTATCTGCAGAAACAAACACATCAGGGGAAATGGGAATTAAAGGGGCTCCTAACATTAAGTATGCATACAATAAGAAACTATAAATCAGTAAGTAATAGTCAGTCACCCAGATCTCACAAAATGCTGTTTGCTCTGGTAAATGTCTTCCAAGGCTGCTAGATGGCGATTTTTCAAAGGTTCAGGCCACTCGTACCAACTGAAAGCGTTTAAACTGCTGTCAATTGCTGCAAAATAAGCTGCATCTTCAAGCCAGCCTACAAAAATGTGAAACAAGAATCACACATGAGAGAGGGAAAAATGTCCACACAAGCATACAAAAGCACTCTGGAGCTGCATTCTTTGTGCTTGGTATTTTCACCAAAGACCATTTGGACAACAAGTTCTAGGAAGTAAAAGACAGTAATTTTTTAGTAAGTTAGTAACCAAAAATTTGGTACTTTCCTGAATAACACATGTGTATGTATGTATGTGCATACATTCAACTAATAGATCCTAGCACAGTTAGAATTACACCAGAACTACAAAATAATGTCAATTTACAACCAAGATTGTCAAATTATAACACGTACAAAATTGTCACGGCAGTAAAAGTATATTATAAAATTATTAGTGCACAAATAATATGAAAATCTCACTTGATATATCCGGGTCATTACGGAAATCTTCAAGCTGACTTTTAAGTTCACCTTCACTCCTAATAAGCCTCTCTGCAGCCTGACAAAGCGCAAAACTATGAAATAGTTTTTGGTGTAAGAAATGAAAAACTGTTCTAAGTTAAGTGAAAGTCATGGAAAACTGTTCACGATGACTTTTAAGTTCACCTTCACTCCTAAATATCCCAACTTCAGTTTCACACAGTTCAACATGAAAAACTGTTCTAAGATTGCTGAAGTGAAAGTCATGGAAAACGCACAAAAACGAGCAGCAGTAATGCTGTTCACATCATTTACCTTAGCTATCAGAGGATCCTTTAAGTCAGCAACAGCTGAGTAGTTCACGCGGTCAGAATCACTGCATGAACCAGTACACCACAATCCCATAAGACAAATCCATACAGAAACCCATATAAAAAGCTCAATATGATGGCAGATGCATTAATAAAGTTTTCCTCACACTGGTTTTGGAAGCTCTTCCTTTGTCAACAAACCATCATTGACAAGCTCCTCAAGAGATATCAACAGAGTGTTACCACAATTTGCATCCTGACAAAATCCCATCAACCAAAATTACCCACAAATTCAATTGCAAATCACAATGAGGATATAGCACACTACAGCCAATCAAAATATTAGGCTTTACACAATTCACATATGAAATCCAAGCTGTGTGTGTATATATTATACAGAAATATAAGCAATTGGGTAAGTTTCGACAGAAAAATAAATAAAAAGCAAATGGGTAAGTATAATTTTACCTGACCAGAGTAAGGGGAGCCCTCTTCATTGGCTTTCCTACCAGGAGGAACCAGCGGAAGCACCTGCCAGAGGGAGCACCCGGCTTCATGAAGCCAGTCAATGAAACGAAACGCCTCCTCCCCAAAATCCCCAATGCCGTGAGGTCCACGGAACGACGTCGGATGGAGGACCACGCCAGCTCTTCTGCGCTCGCTCGGATCCGGCTGGGGGAACACGTCGCCATAGTCTAGAGGTAATTCGTCGCCGACACCAACGACGGCAGAGGCAGAGGTCGAAACGACTGAAACAGGGGTCAGGACGACACCGTTGTTCATTTGGAAATGTCGGAAGAATGGAATTCTGGTTTTGGGTTGGAAGTGAGTGGAGGTGGGGATTGAGGAGTTGGAGAGCTTGGGGGAGAGAGTGGAGGGGAGGCGTGAGAGAGAGCTATTCACGGCCATTGATTAAGAGAGAGAGAGAGAGAGAGAGAGAGAGAGAGAGAGAGAGAGGGAGTTGCAGAGTGGAAGTGTGGATGATGATGGTGGTGGTTGATATTGATAAGCATTCAAACAGTACATGTGCCGACGAGGGATGCGGATCAGTTGTGTGTATTACACCCCAGTTGTGTGTAATACATTATATATTATAGTGGTTGTCTCTTTCCCAAAAACGTGTATGAATCACAAGTGCCTTGTGCAGTTTGGTTCTCCTATTTTGGATTAAGATTGAGAATTTGAGATTCAAGAATGAGTCCTTTAAAAAAAATGAAAAAAGAAAACAAGAAGATTATCATTTTGATTCCAGGTCGAAGTGGTCAGATGGTTTACAGAGCACGGGCTATAGGTCTTAAATCCAAATATGGTCTATCTATTAAGTTGACCCGACCCGACCCGAGATGTATAGATGTTCGGTCCTTTTTCATCTTTCACTTTCCTATCTTACCCTTGGTAACGCAGCAAGTAAGATGCCCATTTGGTGTTGATGTGTGAAAAAAATAATAAAAAATTCTTTAAAAATAATATTTAAAATAAATAAATAAATATCCCAAACAGCACCCACCCTTCCATCTTCTGTTTCCCCTCTTTCTTCGACAACAACCAAGCCCAACCCTGCTGCTTCTCTCTCCTTCTTTTTCTCTCTTTCCCCCTCTAACAAAATCCACATTCGGACTTTTTAAGAGTTTTGGTGTTTGAGTAGTGGCTTGGCTATCGGCCGTTTGGGGCGGTAAGGTCGGTGGTGGGTGCGTTGCGGCGGTGATGGCTATCGGTGGCTGGGTGGCTGGGTGGCTGGGTGGCTAGGTGCGTTTGAATTTTGAATTTGCAGAGAGAGAGGTGGTGGCCGGAAATTTTTAAAACGACAGTGGCGGTGGCTACGACACTGAAAATCTTGCCGTTGAATCTTCCCTTTAAAATTGACAGCTTTTTGGTTGTTAGATACTCCCACACATCAGGCTCCAAAACCTTTTGGGTGGGCACCCCCATCACAGAACATTCATGTTTTTGTTTTTTACGTCGGCACTAACGACAAAACTTTATGGTTCTGTTGAGGGGAGAGAGAAGAGGGGGAGATTGAAGACGGAAGGCGGGCTGCGTAGGGGAGAGAGAGAGGGTGGGTGGGGTTTGGGATTTTTTTTCCGGTTTTTAAAATATTATTTTTAAAGAATTCTTTTTTTTTTCATACATCAACAACAAAGTAGGTGTCTCACTTGCAACGTTATTAAAGGTAAGGTAAAATAAGAAAGAGATAGAAAAAACAATGAAAAACAATTAATTTTTTTAAAAAAGCAAAGAGGCACGACAGATAAAGAAAAAAGAGGCAAAAGAAGAAGACGGGAAAGTAGAAAATTTATCTATACATAAAACAAAAGACAGAGAATGGTGAAATATTCAAAATATTAGAAAATGCCCTTAGTTATTAATTCAAACATTAATAATTGAATTTATTAATTAAATGAGAATAATATGATAAATTCACATTTTATATTAAAAAAATAAAAATAAAAATAGATAATATGTTCTATTTTTATAAAACATAACTATCTTTTCTTAATTCTAAAAATAAAATAAAAAATAAAAATAAAACCAATTGGCCCATGCTCACGGGCTAGTAAGAAGAAAAGAAATAGGATTCCACTAAGTTTGGTTTTGGTTTTGACAACAACAATTAAAGAAAAACAATGAAATTTCTGGAAATTTTAAAAAATAATTAACAATTTATAAATTAAAGGAAAAAAAACAGATTTAGCCATTACTTCTCTTCGTTCGTGTAATTAGATGCAAGCAATTAATTTTACAAATTCAACTGACAAATATTTTGTACCGTTGATTTAAAAAATATATATATATATATTTTGTACCTAAGTTGTTGTCAGCACAATTAAGCCAAGTTTTCCTAAACTATGATTACTATCCAGATTATCGCATGGGTTAAATTATGATTTTTTTTCCCTTGGGGTTTTGTTCCACGTGGTTTCCTCCGTGAAAACATTCATGAGGTCGTCATTAATATGATGATTCTCACTCTATGATATTTCATGATTTTTAATGGAATATCTTTTCGTATAAAAAAAAATTAATTAAAGCATCAAGTAGAGTTGCAATTCAAAATCCCAAGGAGCCAACGAAAGAAAGATACAACTTTTTTTTATTTATTTTTATTTTTTTATGCCACAATCAGATTCAACCGTTAGTTCATGTAATAAGATGCAAGCAATCAATTTCACAAATTCAACTGGCAAAGATTCTATAGCTATGCTGTTCTCAGTACATTTAACTCAAGTTTGCCTAAATTATTATTACTATTCATATCATGACACATGTCGAATATTTCTATATATAATTTATGGTCATGTTTGGTTGGCTGGATTGGATTGAATATATTCAATTAAAATGGACATGGGTCTAATTTGTTGTTTGATGAGCTTAATTGTATCACTAACTGGATATTGGACCTTGGATCCAAATCCCAAATAACTATCGCTCTAAAATCCAACTTCAATCCAATCCAATTCAGTTCAATATCGAAATTTGTATTTATTATTAAAAAAACAAAACACCCCAAACCGAACATGTCAATTCAATTTACTCCGGATACAGTTTCAAATGCCCAGCTCTAATAAGGACTACGGGGATTAACGAAACCATGGGGATGTATGTGCTAAAATATGAAAACTATGAGAGAATATTTGTTTGTGGGAATTTTCTGTGTATTCTTCTCCTTGTATGAGGTCATATTTATAATACAACGAAACCTGAATGGGCAAGTAAATAATAAATTCCTAAATCTATTTATAATAGGAAATCAAGAATTAAAGTAAATCAATTATAATTATAATAGGAATTCTTGGTGTGTAAGGAAAGTAAGTCAATATCCACAAGTCACGCCAACACTCCCCCTCACGTTGGTGCATAGATGTCGCCAATGCCCAACTGATCCAGTGAATTGTGGAATGCTTTACTGGAAATCGCCTTTGTCAAAATATCCGCCAATTGATCCTCGGATTTCACAAAAGGAAACTGAAACGCTTTAGCCTCAAGCTTCTGTTTGATGAAGTGTCGATCCACCTCAACATGTTTAGTACGATCATGCTGAACCGGATTCTGTGCAATGGCTATAGCAGCCTTGTTGTCACAAAAGAGATTCATTGTAGATGTAGGTTTATACCCAAGTTCAGTAAGCAACTTTCTTAACCAAAGAAGTTCACAAATCCCTTTAGTCATGCATCTGAACTCGGCTTCTGCACTGAATAAAGCTACTACATTCTGTTTCTTGCTCCACCATGTCACCAAATTACCTCCCACGAATGTGAAGTAACCCGATGTGGATTTTCTATCTGTTACATTACCTGCCCAATCTGCATTTGAATAACCATCAATATTTAGATGACCATGCTTTGAGAACATAAGTCCTTTTCCAAGTGCAGACTTCAAATATCTAAGTATCCGAAGAACTGCATTCATGTGGTCTTCACTTGGAGAGTACATAAATTGACTGACACTGCATAAGCAATGTCTGGTCGAGTATCTGACAAATAGATCAATCTTCATACTAACCTTTGGTATCTTTCTTTGTTAGTCAACAAGTCCAAGACATATTTCCTTGGAGAGAGAAATATGCCTTGCTGCGATCGAGCCATCTCAATTCCCAAGAAATACTTGAGTCCACCTAGATCCTTCATCTCGAACTCTGTAGCCAGATAGTCTTGTAACTGTGATATTTCCTGTTTATCATTCCCAATAATAATCATATCATCAACATAAATTATTAATGTTGTTACCTTCCCTTTCCGATGTTTCAAGAATAGAGTATGATCAGAGTTGCACTGTTTGAAACCATTGTTCTTCATTGCCATGGTGAACCGTCCAAACCATGCACGTGGAGACTGTTTCAACCCATACAATGCTTTTCGTAACCTGCAAACTGTTCCAGTCTGAGTAATATTATAACCAGGAGGAATGTCCATGTAAACCTCCTCCGTGAGTTCGCCATGTAGAAAAGCATTCTTTACATCAAACTGGTGTAGTGGCCAATCCAAATTAGCTGCAAGAGACAATAAGACTCTGACGTTGTTTAACTTTGCAACTGGAGCAAAAGTTTCTTCATAGTCTATACCATAGGTCTGTGTGTACCCTTTTGCCACAAGTCTTGCCTTGTATCGCTCGATAGATCCATCTGCATTGTGTTTTATAATAAACACTCATCTACATCCAATAGTCTTTTTTCCTCGTGGCATAGTCTCCAATGTCCAAGTCTGATTTTTCTCAAGAGCTTTCATCTCCTCTTTTATAGCTTGGACCCACTTAGAATCTTTCAATGCTTCAGAGACCTTGGTTGGAATATGGATAGCAGACAACTGATGCACAAAAGCCTTGAGTGGTTCAGACAGCTTCTCAGTGGATACATGATTTGCAATTGGATACTTGGATGTCTTGCAAATATCAGGTGAATAGCGGTTTGGTGGCTTCCCACGATTTTGCTTGAAAGGTAATTGATATCCAATAGTTTTATCCCTTCAATGCATAAGTCTAGTAGGAGTAGTTACCTCAAGGATATTCTCAGGAGATTGGTTTGTTGGTACTGTTGAGTTAGAGGGGGGGTCTTCATCTTGTTGTTCTGTATTGTCTGTAGGTGTGAGAATCGGATAAGAAATATCTTCATATGGATCAGGTGGGTTAGGTAATTGATCGCTATGAATGGACGATTGGTCGCTTTTCGGCATAGAGTAATCTTGTGCTCCAAACTCAGGATGATCAATCACTTCTGTACATAGGGGAATTTCTTCGTTTTTCCAAGTTGCTCTAATTCTGCTCTTCACTTCGTATCTCCCCCTGAAGCGTAGAATTGGATGATGGGTCATGGAAGAACAGCTCAGATTCCAGAAAGGTCATATCCAAAGTGACATAGGTACGTCGGGTAGGAGGGTGATAACAACGGTAGCCTTTTTGATGAGTGGCATAACCCACAAAAACACAACGAAACGCACAGGGATCAAGTTTGCTACGTTGATTTTTGTGGAGATGAACGAAAGCCACACATCCAAAGATTCGGGGTGTGAGTACCAAAACAGAGGGCAGATGTTTGTATTGCGCAAGCACTTGTAAGGGAGTTTTAAAGGTCACTACACTAGAAGGCATGCGGTTGATTAGGTGAACTGCAGTGACAATAGCATCATCCCAGTGATGGCGAGGAACATGAGCGCCAATCAAAAGTGCTCGAGCGGTTTCAAGAAGATGTCGATTCTTTCGTTTAGCAACACCATTTTGTTGCGGTGTCTGAGGACAAGTCGTCTCATGGATAATTCTATGTTGTTGGAAGTAAGTCTGAAAGTCATGATTGACAAATTCTCCACCATTGTCGGAGCGAAGAATCTGGATTTGAGCATTAAACTAAGTTTTTATCTGTTTGTGGAAGGACTGAAACCGGGAAAACACTTCGTTTTTATTCTTCAGCAAATAAAGCCATGTCATCCGTGTACAATCATCTATGAACGTGACAAACTATCGAACACCAGAAGGAGCAGTGATAGGTGAAGGTCCCCAGACATCATAGTGAATTAACGTAAATGGAGTAGTACACTTGTTCATACTCAACGGGTAGGGCACACGATGACTCTTGGCCAAAATACAAGTATCACATGTGAAGTTGGAGTCCTTGAAACCTGAGAATAAATCTGGTATAAGATGCTTCATATAACTAAAAGACGGATGTCCCAATCGACGGTGCCACAACCAGATTTGCTTTTGTTTGTTATCAAAGGGATGCGTCACACTGTTAGCCATGCCAGGGCTGAAGTCATCGATATAATATGGCCCCCCTCTCTTAGTACCACGACCAAGAATCTCCTTAGTGTGAATATCCTGAAGCAAACAGGAAGCTGACTAACGGACAACAATTTAGTGGATAAAGATGGAACAAGTAAAGTATTAGACAGTGTGAGAGAGGATGAGAGTGCAACAGTGCCAGCCCTTGTCACAGGATAAGTAACACCATTGGCATTTGCAATACAGGTTCGTTGAGGTTATGTAGTATTCAGAAAATCATCAGGATCAAACGTCATATGATCAGTTGTATCGGAATCAATTATCCAACTCCTGGAATCAATCTTAGCGGAAGTATGGAATCCATAACCAGTACCATTACTGGCCGTATTACGTTGTCCTTGATCTTTAAGAGTAGCCCACCAATCTGGATAGCCATGCAATTTAAAACAAGTCTCACAAGTGTGTCTTGGATCACCACAATATTCGCAATCTGGTCCATGTGTCGGGATTGTTAGTCGAGAAGTCATAATCTGTGCAGCAGAAGATGTATAGGATACAGGTTTAGTAGGAATTCAGATCGGGATCTGAGCTTGAGTCGGAGTCGAAGTCGGAGTCGGAGTCGAAGTCGGGATCGGGGTTTGAATCAAAGACAAATTCGGGGTCGGGGTCGGAGTCATCATCGGAGTGGGGGTCGAGGTCGTTGTCGGAGTCGGAGTCGGAGTCGGAGTCGGAGTCGGAGTCGAGGTCGTCGTCGTCATCATAGTCGGGGTCAAGGTCGGGGTCGTCAAAAGAGGATCCTGATTCAGGATTAGATTTGGGGCCAAAGTCTGCATCTGTAGGAGCTGGGCCATCTGGGCACTCAACTTGGCTATGGTTGGTTGAGAAGGAGAGAATGAGTCGGTAGTGCTACCTCCATGAGGGATGAAAAAATCACCAACCCCCATAGCGGTGGCGGGGGTGTGAAACTAGAGTCAGCAATTCCAAGATCGTCACTCTGATACCATGCTAAAATATGAAAACTATAAGAGAATATTTATTTGTGGGAATTTTCTGTGTATTCTTCTCCTTGTAGGAGGTCATATTTATAATACAACGAAACTTGAATGGGCAAGTAAATAATAAATTCTTAAATCTATTTACAATAGGAAATCAAGAATTAAAGTAAATCAATTATAATTATAATAGAAATTCTTGGTATATAAGGAAAGTAAGTCAATATCCACAAGTCACGCCAACAGTATGTACTTTAATTGAATCCCAATTAAGCCACCGGCAATTGGCACTTTGCCCTCTTTGTAAGATTTGCAAAATGGGGCATACGCCAGCCACCCTCCTTGTATGCTTTGTGGCCTCAGCGACTAATTTAATTTGCCTTCTTTCTGGATGGCTATTGTTTATGGCACATATATTATAGAATTTTGTTCTTTTTTTTTCTTTAATCCTTGATGTTTGTCAACTTTCCAATTTAATACCTAAATTGTTATTTGTCCCATTTAGACCCAAGTATCAAAATTTGAAAAAGAATTTAGTACAGGCAATCGGGAAGGGAGTTAACACAAATATTTATTGGGTGTATGAGATTTCGAACCTCAGACCACTTGAGCTACACCCCACGGTACAATTACATAATAAAAAACGTGGTATATTTTGATTTTATTTGGCTACAAATCTCAGTCACAGCAGCGGTTAAAATTCTACAAAGGATGAACTCAACGCCATTGCCATTCATCCGACACTCCTCAATCTATACTATGATATATCACTATAACATTCACTATTAATTATGGGAATTATACATATAATTTCCCAATTAATTAATCTATGCCGTTGACTTTCAGATGCGGAAACGTTGACCACCTGGGCACCTTTCTTCATCACACCTCATCAGACCAATCGCTAAGGTCGCTAGTCTCATAAAACAAGCCATCCACAATCTGATCAATCAACGAATCTATTAACCCGTTACAGCTTAAGCTCAAGACCCGACCCACGTTCTTCCGGTTACTGGATAGCCAAGCGGAGACCGCCGCGCAAGCCACAGCAGCCAAACACACCCCCGCCGCCTCCGCGATCCCCTCCACCTCCACCTTCCCAAACAAGGAGTTTCCGGTCACCGCCTCCGTCGCTACCGTCGCAGCGAAAACCACCATGGCTAGCCGACCCGACAGGATCTCGAAGTCCTGGCTCTTCTTCGAGCTCTCGATGTACTCCGACAGCGCCGCGAAGAACGGCGACGTGTCGTCCTTCTTCGTCCTCATCACTCCGGAGAGATCCGAGCCGTACGATCTCAGAGTGCAGAGCCGCGGCTGCAGCACGATCTTCGCGGTCTTCGGATCCGGCGCCACGGGTTTCGGAACCGGTACCTGAACAGGAACCGCCGGGTCGCGCCTGCTAACCGCCGGGTTGTCCTGCCTCCTCAGCTCGCAGCGAATAGCGCGCGCCGCCGTGGCCATGGAATTAGAGGAAAGATAGTGAGACGGTGCGTTTTGAGGAATTGGCTCGATTCCCAGAATCCTGGGGTTTTTGAGTATTGGGGATTTGGGACGTGTATTTGAGATTCGGTGGGTGGCGGTCTATGAGCCCACGTCTTGGATGGGTTGTGAGGTGGAGGCTAGCGACTGTGGGACCCTCTGTTGGGACGTGGCAGCTGATATGCTCGATAATGTAGTTTTCATTTGGAGAAAAAACCAACTGGTGATTAGGTTGATCACAGTCTTGTCATTTTTATCAGGAAAGTCATGGATTCTTCTTACGTCCGTACGAAGATGAAGGAGCTATGGATTTTTCTGTGAACAGGAAGAATAGAATTTTTTTGGCCGAATACCCCTCAACTACATCGATTGTCGAATTTAGGTTTCTGAATTATTTTTTCAATCAATTTAGTCCTCGGATTATTTTAAATAGTCCATTTAGCCCCTGCCATGAAATTTTTACACTTCCATCCAATTTTCCCTTAATTATAAGGGTAAACGTGTCATTTTACAAGGTACAATACCAAAAACAAATAAAAAATGAAAAAAAATTTCAAAATAGAAAGAACAAAAGAAAACCAACAAATCCCCACCCGAACACCAACTCCCCTCTCCTCGTCTCCCATTTCACACGAGAAGCCTTTCAATTTTTGCGTTCTCATTTGTCATTTGGAAATTTCACAGTTTGCTTCAAGGGAAATGAAGGTGAATGTTGTTTGGGTGCTTATGCTTGAGCTCCATACGAGCTCTCTTGGTTGGTTTCTTTGTGGGTTTTGTGTTACATGTGATTTGGTTCAATATTTTCGCAATTTTGGGGAAGAAAACTTCTGGGTTTTCTTCAGTTCTTTATGTTGTATTCAGAGTTCAACTTCTCATCAGAAAAACTTTTGTGGGTATGTGAAGATTTTCTTATATATGGTGGAAATTGGGATATAATAGGTTTTTTCTTAAGGAAAATTGAATTGGGTTGGTACCAAATTGTGGAAGTTAGAAGGTTTTGTTTGGTTTTGCGTGATGAAGCTTGTTGGGAGCATTGTTGACACCGCATTGGCGGCTTATTGGACTGGCTTATGCCGTGCGTAGTTGAGTTTTTAAGCAATGAGGACTGGGCCGTGCAGAAGGCCGTGGCTAAGGTGATTAGGAAGGTGGCCTTGGTGGAGAGAGATTTGACGGCGACGTATACAAGTTAAATTAAAATAAAGAAATCATTATCTATTATGATTGTAAGAACTAAAAAATAGAGAAGAAGGAGATAAAATATGATTTTGTTAAAAAGGAAAAAAGAGAACTATGAACATAGAAAAAAAATGGAGACATAAACATAGAGACCATGAAAAAACAGAACTATAAGAAAAAAAAAAAAAAAAAAAAAAAAAAAAAAAAAAAAGAAAAACAATGTAAGCTCATTTGAGCCCAGTTCGGTGGGCTTTCTTAGGCCTAACCCATGAAGCTTGGCCTAGCCCGTTATTTTCTCTCTCCTAACTGGAGTCCAGCCCAGCCCATCGACCATCTCTATTCAAACTTGGACATCTCCAACTTCTATTTTGTAGTGGCTCATTGTTATTCTTACTACTTGACCCTCTGGCTACACACATATATCCAACGGGAGTAGTTCTGGGCTGGAATATATCTAATTTTTCCAAGTGTAAACAATCTACATTAATTAATGAACAGATAATGAATCGAAAGATATGAACAAAGAAAGATGCATCTTTGTTGATGAATCAAATGAATCGAAGACACCCTTCACCGTCATTTCATTAAGCCAACGTCTTATCTTGGGTAACAATTCTTGTTTCTACCCTAATTCATACATAAATCACAATAAGTCTACTTCTTTCCCTTCCCCTAGTATAAGTTACAATGTCACATATATCATCATATCCTTACAAAGAAAATACTGAGCTCAGGCCCATTATTTCCTTCTGGGCTCAACATGTACAAGGTCTCTGAGTCCTTCGAGCCCACAATGCGTTCGAAGAGGGCCCGCATGTACACCATCTCGCCATCCGGGCCCTCAACCTCAGACTTCCCGGGTAAGACAGCTGCGCCCATAGTCACAGCCTTGAGAAGCTCCATGACACTCAAATCTTCCTCCGTGGCCTCCCTCTTCACCGCATAGCCACTCTTCTTCCCGTTGCAATACATGGTCCACATCGGCTCGTCCAAAAGACTCGTCTTGTCCTTGTCCGCTCTCTTCTCGCATTCCAACGCAATCCTCACCATCCCAGACCCCATCTCCTTCTGAAGCACGTTCGTCTGCATGGCCAGCTCAACCACAAGGCTTGGGAGACACCTAGGGGTTTCTTGAATGGACAGGGACACGCGTCCTTTCCGGTACCCGAACAGCGTGCCGCTGACTCGGGTTCCAGAGGAGGCGGTCTTGCTGGAGTCCATCCTCCCCATGGGGAGTGACGGCATCCTGCAGGCGGGGGTGATGATGGGGAAGGACCGGAAAACGGAGCGAAACACTCGGAGGACTTTGCTTCTACTTTTTCTATTTTGGGATGGTTGGAGGAGGGAGGAGGGTTGGCTGGGTAGCGGCGGAGGCAGTGGTGGGACTCTGGATGAGGAGGATGCCGTTTGATGAAGTTGATCTTGTGATGGAGATTTTGGCTCCCCCATTAATGGCTTTGATGACGAACCAGGAATGGGAGAGTGCCATGAGAGAGACAGAGAACTGAGACGGACAAAGAAAGAGGGGGAGAGAGAGAGAGAGAGAGAGGCAGACAGAGACAGAGACAGAGAGAGAGAAGAGGGAGCGCAGAGAGAAGGGGCTGTGTCTAGTCGTTGGGAAAGTTTGTTATTGGATTTGCGGTTTTGGATGTGCTTGCTAAGCTGAAATTCCGGTGGTTGACCATATCTATTTTAGTATATTTACCTTCTATATATGTAACGCATATTTTAATTAATTATGAGAGTAATTAAATCACATTTGGAGGCATTTTTCATATATGTTATTGGCTTATGAATTAGAAATTGGAATGACAAAAATTTTACGTGAGAAATTGATTTTGCTTATTGCACTTTTGAAGACACTTTTCCTTTTGTTTTGATTAATGTCTTGCATTCTGGTGGTTTACTCAAAACACGCAAAAAATATATGTGCACGTTGAATCCATTGATGTTTCAGTTTGAAATTTTTTGTTTCATGGTTTAACTCTGATGTAGTGAAAAGTTTATTTATTTATTTATATATTATGCATGGGCGGAGCCACATATAGGCTTGTAGTGCCCGTGATCCCCCTAAGCTCCATAAAAAAGCCAATAACTCTTAAACATATGCTGTAATATCAGTTGAATTATAAGGCTATAAAACCTTACAATTACAGTATTCCCCCCCTAAAGACAAGCTACTAGCTCCACCACTGATTTTATGATCTAAAGAAGTAATTGAAAACTTAATATGCAAGTTTAAAATGAAAAGTCACGATTATTCTAGAATAACTATGAACAGTCATGATTATGTGGTGTACTTGAAACATGCAAAAATTTACTCCCGCTATGGTAGTGTTGCTACATAGTATCATGTTTTTTTGGAATAACTACAAAGTTGCCTAACGCCATGTGTGTAGGCCAAATACTAGGCTGTAGTTGAGACTACTGTGTCCCAAGTTAAAGCATCTGCTGCAAAGTTTGCCCCTCGATCCAATATTGACAAAATCCAAAAGGAATAGCTCATGCAAGTTTAATACATCCTTTGGAATGTCTTAAAACAGCACCAGCCGCGACTCACGAACGATAGAACCATCAAATTTAGCTTTCAATGATAACCATAAGAGGGATACCATTTTATATTATGACAAACAGAACGTTTATATTTCCCTTGTTTCTTAAGACTAGTATTATGAATGTTCCAAAAAGTGAAAGGTGTTTTATAGAAGGAATTGAAGAGATAACAATCGGCTTCTCAATTAAAAATGACCTGGTTATGTTGATACCAAGCATTATTTGTTAGAGATATAATGAAAGGCACTTTGATCAACTAGAAGTTTTGGGCCATTTGGGACAATGATCACACCCTATAAGACTGGGCTATGTATTTATAGGCTAGGGAGTTTTAAGTTTGGCACTCATAACCCATATGACTTAAAATGATCTATGTGAGTTATCAAATGGGTCAAACCCACCAACTTCACTCTATGGGCGATTTTGGTTCTCTATTGGGTGGTTGTTAAAAAGAAAACCCAACAAACCAAAATTGAGACCATGAATGTTAGCTAAACATTCAACAAAAGAATATCCTTATTTTAAACATCGGACCCACCTTTTACATGGGTTGATTCATCGCATCAGGATCGACCACCTCATTTGTATCAATGGAAGATATGGCAATAGAAACTCTTTACACGGGGGATTACCTTCACAAACTATACAAAATCCTTAAAACTTAGAACACTCTTAATCCTTGTCTCTTAAGTATGAAAACATATATTAAAACATTCACCCATAAATACCAAGATAATATCCTCAATTTCTAGTTTAAAACATCTCAAAACTTAAATACTCTCCATCTAGGCGTACCCCCATTCGTGATCCGTCAATTCCAGTAATGTACCTTAAATTCCATGAATTTCTATTTATTTTCCACATTATATCGTCAATTCCTTGTGTCTCATAATGTGACACATCCTCGCAGGCCTCGGTAACACAAAGTCAACCTAAGTCGCACTCCTCACAGAACTCGGAGGACATATAGTCAGCCCGAGAATGCACATTCTCGCAGAACTCGGGGGACATGTAGTCTGCCCGAGAATGCATATCCTCGCTCCACACAATTCAAGTGTCCCTAAAACTCATGGGGAATTGTCATAAAAGACAAACTGTTTCAAAGGCAAATGGGGGGTACTCCCGTGGTGGGTTTGAAATCATATTCCAAAACTTATCATAAACTTTCCCAAAATCAGTTCTCAACAACATTTAAAATACGTGCCACATTCTATTAAGAACTAGTATCCATGATTCATCATTTTGAAGCCACTGAGTATATATATTAATTTTAAACATATAATAAGATATTTAATTAACATCTCGTCCACACCAAAATCCAGTTAATAAGCAATTCCCAACTTTACCCATCCAAACATAGTATAATACCCTCACAAAGTAAAAGCGGTTACCTAATAACTCATAAACATTTGAATAATCCAATATCACCCAATCATATACTTTAATAATACTCATAGTAATAATAAATAAATAAATAACAAGATAATCTTCGAATATCATAATAACACCCAAGAATATCATAAAACACTATAACATAATCGCATAGTCCAAACATAGTCAAAATAGTCCACAAACTGTCAAACCTTGTTTACATGGTCGTCTAGCACTTCTCGAGGGTGAAACTACCTCGAAAGACCCACGGTCAACTAAGGGTCAAACTTTCTAAATTGGATCAACTAGGCCCGTGGAGCCCACGACCTCTGATTTCCAATCCGAAAGTTCCTACGGGTTCAACAAGGCCTGTCTTGCAAGTTTGGTCCGAATCGAATGGTCAAATTGCTCTCTATCGCATGATCGAACAGTTACCATTTACCTAAACTTTGAATTGTTGAATCAGAATATCCGGGACTCCTATTCTCGATCCGCAAATTCCTACATGATTCTAAACTTGCATGAATTAACATATTTGAAAATGAAGTCGATCCAACGGTCCGAACCTATCAAACCTGGGTAACGCCTAATATGCGATATCCGATCGACAGTCAAACGGTAACCAAATTGAAATCCAAGCATACCGTTGTGCTCGAGACTATGCGGGGATCATTCTTGGACAAAAACCCAACCTTGACACCCAGTCGACGCGCTGCCAACTCCGGCGGGTGTTTAGAGCAATTTTCTGGTGATCGGAAAACTCCAAATCGTCGGCCAATAATGATACCTACAGATCAAGCACATCAAGGGGAGTAACTTTATACCTTGGCTCGAATATCAATTCCACCGTTAAAGCCCTTGAACGAACAATTTTGTCTCTTGAAAAACCTAGAAAATTCTTAGTTTGAATTCGTAAATTCTACTTGAAATTGGGTCGGGTCTTCAAGGGAAATTACAAAGGGAAGGTAGAGGAGTGTTTTAGGTGGGATTGCACAGCTTGGGGTGGCCGGAGTTGGCCAAAAAACTTGTTGGAATTTCTGGTTTCGAAATAGCCCGTTTTGGGCTTGATTTTGGCTCGGTTTTGGCCCGAATTTTTGGTTTAATCGCTTGGAATCAAGGCTAGATATGGGTATGCATGGAAAGAGGAGAGAGAGATGAAGAGTTTGCACATTGTGGCGTCGGAATTGGTGCCTGGACGGAGGAGAAATCTCCGTCGAGAGTTGGCTACTCCTGGATGACTCGAGAGAGAAGAAGAAATCTGGGTCTTTTAAAAACTGAACTTCGAAAAATTTACGATTGTGCCACTGGACTTCTTTTGATCATAACTTTTTCGTTATAACTCCGATTTGAGCCCACTACATGTTTACGGAGTCATCTCGACGTGCTCTACCCAACGGTACTTAAAATCCCCAGATTCCTTCCCAAACAAAAAGTCAACTTTTAAACCATTAAAATATTTAAGGGGTAAAAATTTCTTTTACTTGAATAAATTAATAATTAAATATTAATTTAGGCTCAAGTTATTACACTTCAGAAAAGATTGCAGATTTCCGCACAGCCCGAACTACCTGTACTAAAACTACTATAACTTCCTCTACAAAAATGATATTCATGAACCGTAAAATTTCCCAGAAAATAGACATCCGTAGCTTTCCAAACATATGTGGTCAGCTTCTGGTTCTTAGTGAGTCATTATAGTATAGTCCGTGAACTTGACTGATCTGCACATGCATTTCAAACTCAACTTTCTCCTTTTAGCTTATTTTCCACCATTTGATTATGATTACCTAAAAAAGTAATAAAAGAATGTAAAACCTATATAAAATAGTAAAAGAATGGTGTAAACATGGAGAAATATCATAGATAAATGTCGAATTTATGAGCACATCACATCACTCTCTCTCTCTCTCTCTCTCTCTCTCTCTCTCTCTCTCTCTCTCTCTCTCTCAGCGACACTTTGGACAGCAGTGAAGCAACCCCTTGTGTGCACACAAGGTGTTCGATGAAAGTCCCCTAGGGGCTTGACTTGCGCTGCATGCGCGAGTCTAATATTTTTATTTTTTTAAAGCCTGGCCAAACGATGTCGTTTGATCCTGTCACGACCTGATTCGAAAATAAGAAATATTCCCGAATCATGGTGTGGGTCATACTGTAGTCGTAATAATAAAATCTTACAACCATGATATGTTGAGAAAAAACGACAAATAATACAAATAAACACACACTAATATCTTTATTAAACGGTTGACTACTTACAAATATTGATTACACAAATCAACAACAAAAGCCTAGCAGCTTAATTGAAACTTGCTTCCTCAAACTTTGTTTTGAATCATGCACAATCTATTAGGGTATAAGCATTCTAATGCCCAGTAGAGTACTGTCAAACCTCTCAAGGTTAGCTATTACAATTAATCAAGGTGTCATGCATCAAACAACATAAGATACATAATATATGCAACCAGACCATATAAGTAAATTTGCATATGCGGTGATGCCATAAACTCACTCTCTTCTAATCCAAC